CATATTTGGAGTTCAGCGTAAATGAAGCTAAAACGACGTAGATATTGCTCGCGAAAGACGGGAATGTAGAATCAAGTTTTGAGAAAAAGTCATGTCCCTTAGAGAATACACGCAAAATGTGAAAAAATTAGCTTGCCTCCTTTAATCGCAAAAATACGCCATGATGCCTTTGTCAAAATGAAAAATTGTGACAACTGGATTTGTAGAGAATTGTCTCAGCTAGAACATATCAAAATTTTAAAGAAAATTAATCAATTTTTAGAAAGATACAATCAATTTTCCAAAAAAATGCTGACGTCATAATAGGCAAATTGAAATTTTGAGTTCGGAGGCCATTATGATGACGTCATGAGTTAATTGAGGGTCAAATGAGACATGAAATCATATCTCTGATTCATACTCTCTCAAAATATGAAAAAAAAATTGGGGTCACCTTGCATCCTAAAGAGCTATAATGGATTTTGCATAGGCATGTTTTTGCCCATATATGCTATGTATTACAAGAGCTCGCGCGCATTGAAATTTATGTTAAACGGTCGATTATTCAATTATTTATAGTCATAAAGAGACAAACATGGTATCAATTTGTTTGTAAGAATATGTGGAATATTATGAAGAAAAAAAAATGGCGATTCTATGGTGTCTAATAGTTTTACGCGCGAGAACGCGCGCGCATGCGCGTGTGCGCGATTTTTAAAAAAATGCTTAGAATGGCCTAAAACGTATGCAAAATGATTTTGAGACGATTTTGAGCATTTCAAAATTTTGCGCGCGCATTGACGCGCGGACGTACGCGCACGCGCGCGTTATTTGACCTGAAATTGACCGGACGGATATTGACCCTGATCATGATAAATATGAATCAGAAATACCTTTTGGTTATGAAGATATGATCAGGAGTTGATTTTCGTAAAATTTTACAAAATGGCGCCTAGATGACGTCATCAGTGAAGGTCAATGTTGAAAACGTTATTGTGCTTTGTACATATGCCTATACATATGTGTGCCAAATTTCAAATTATTTGATTGAGCCATTTCCAAGTTATCTTGCCAACAAAAAAGTGGTTAGAAATAAGAAAAATATATAATAAATAAATAAATAAAGGCAATTCTAACGAAATTATAAGGTGGTCTGTACGTTATACAGCCCACCTGATAACAATCTTGACGAAATCAATAGGTGATACGTAGACTTCGTTACGTATCACCTAATAATAATAATTTCTTCTATACAGACACAAAATAAATACTAGACTTTAATTCGTCACTTAGACGAATTAGGTGATACGTATGATAATGGTTTACATAACGAATAATGCATTACACGATATATTATTTTGCTTCTCCCATTCATATGCTTCTCCCATAATGATCTATTCATATGTCAAGATTAAATTGTGTCTCCTTGATCATCATGGATCTAGGGAAGATAGATTGAAACAATATATGACCTTTGACCCTGTGCAGTAACCAGTTACACATTTGACTCTAATTTACATCATGAAGAACACCTTTTGACGATTTTATCTTATTCAAAGAAATGAAAATGTAATTGATAAATGATTAGCATCATTATGATAATGATGATCGTGATGATCATGATCATGATCATGAGCGCGATCATGACATCTTATTGAAAAAATGAGGGTTGATTTAGATAGCATATAATCTCAGCTACAACATACTCAAAAATCAACAAAATCCAAGCCGAAATAACGGCGATATTGCTCGCAAAAGACAGGAATGTAGACTCCAGATTTGAGAAAAAGTCATTTCCCATAGGGATTACACGCAAAAAGTAATGGATTAAGTGAAAATAGGGTAATAATAAAGTAAAAAGGGTTATTTATGACATTATTTGCGAATCTACGTGTTTAAATAATCAAAGGAGATGGTACAGTGAAGGTCAAAAGGAAAAAAAAGTGAGAAAAAAAAGTGTTGGAGACACCCGGACTCGAACCAGGGATCTCGAGGTTGGAAGTCAAGTGCGTTACCGATATACCAAAACATCTCCCATAGCGATTACACGTAAACAGGAAATGGAATTCAGAAATCCTACTTTGCAAGTGAAATATGAGCATGATCCCGGCATCTAATCGAAAAATAAAGGGCACACTTGTGATAGCTCATTGTCTCAGCTACAACATATCCGAAGCTCAGCGAAAATGAAGCTAAAACAACGGAGATTTTGCTCGCGAAAGACAGGAGTGTAGAATCCAGTTTTGAGAAAAAGTCATGTCCCATAGAGAATACACGCAAAATGCGAAAAATTGACATGCCTCCTTTAATCGCAAAAATACACTATGATACTTTTGTCAAAAATAAAAATTGTGAACATTACATTTGTAGAAAATTGTCTCAGCTAGAACATATCAAAATTAAAAAGAAATTGATCCATATTTACAGAGATACAATCAATTTTCCAAAAATATGCTGACGTCATAATATGCAAATTAAAATTTTGAGTTTGAAGGCCATTATGATGACGTCATGAGTTAATTGAGGATCAAATGAGACATGAAATCATATCTCCGACTCATAATCTATCCAAATATGAAAAAATATTAGGAGTTTCTATCTATTCTAAAGAGTTACAATGAATTTTATATAGGCATGTTTTTGCCCATGTATTGTGGATAAAGATAACGCAAATCCGCGCGTGCTGTCAACTTTGACGGACGCTCATTGCGTTAATAAAAGGTGAACAAATCATCAAAATGTACCGAATATGATGACAGAAAAAAATCGACGATTCTATGTTGCAAAATGCCAGTACGCGCGAAAATGCGCGCGCATGCGCGTGTGCGTAATTTTTTTATCAAATGCTCCATATGGCCTGAAACGTATGCAAAAAAAATTTGGGATGATTTAGAGCATTTTTAATTTTTGCGCGCGCGTAAACGCGCGGACGAGCGCGCACGCGCGCATTTACGCACGTTTATTGACCTCAACTTGACCGGACGGATATTGATCTTAATCATGATAAATATGAATGAAAAATTATTATTCGTTATAAAGATATGATCATTAGTTGATTTTCACAAAATGGCGCCTGGATGACGTCACGATGACTTTGAGTCTTTGAAAAGTCACGCAGTTCTAAGTTAGACTAAGATCTATCATCATTGAAAGATTCATAACAATGGCTTCGTTCAGTCTTGAGATATCCTGCGAACAAATTCGAGGAAGAATAATAATAAATAAATAAATAATAAAAATCTTGACGAAATCAAAAGGTGATACGTCTACGTACGTATCACCTAATAAAATATTCATTAAATACAATACAAATTTTGGAGGTATCATGTAACACCTGATCATTAGATATCAAAAAATTAATACTGCACTTTTTATTTACACGACCCATTGCACAATTAACTATGTTCCAAGTCTTTTTCATATTCCCTTTGGCTGTTGCAAAATTTTCCATGAAATAGTGTTTTTTAGCTTGTTTAATCATATTATTGACTTTATTCCGACATTTTCTGTACACTTCTTTTCGATACGGTGTTGGGTTTCTCAGATAAAGTCGATATGAACGACATTTTTTCTTTGACAACTTACGAATATCAGGATTGATCCATGGTTTATTTTTTTGGGGTGTTTTTTTCAAACATTCTAAAGGAAAACACAGATTATATACATTTAAAAACTTCTCTAAAAATTGCACATAATTTACATTTGGATTGTTATTATGGCAAGACCATTGGACCATCTGAAGGGATCTTAAAAAACAATTTATACTTTTATCATTGATTATTCTTAAAGGCTTATTCAAATTTTGCTGAGATTGAATATCATTCCAGCTAATACAATATACAGGTAAATGATCGCTGATGTCTGTTATAAATATTCCTGATTCAACATTGTCTACATTATTAGTAATTACATTATCAATCAAAGAAATTGTGTCGTCAGTGATTCTGGTAGGATGGTCTATCAACGGATACATATGATGCGACAATAGTAAATTGATGAAATTATCAACATGTTGCACTTTACCTACATTCAATAAATTGATATTGTAATCACCTAATAAATAAATTATTTTATTTTCCCTATTTACAACGCTAAAAACATTTGAGAATCTCTCTAAAAAATCATCAACAGACTGATCCGGAGGCCTATAAATTGACCCAACAATTATACCAGAATTCTTATTGACAATTTCCACAAATACACTTTCAATACAGCTATCGGTCTGTTCTAAGTCGGGACGTCTTATATATTGCACATTATTGTTTACAAAAATCCCAACTCCTCCACCCCTTCTTGACAAGCGGCTAACGCCTTCAAATTCATAACCATCTATATTACACAAAGGGTGTATGGTGTGCTCCTGGAACCAGGTTTCTGTGACACATAGTACTGTAGGCTCTAGTTTCACACTGTTTAAGAATTCAGTGATATTATCAAAACTATGAAGAAGACTTCTTGAATTACAATGGATACATGAAAGTGGATTTGCAGATTTTGCTTTGTTTGTAATGTATGTATTAAACTCATCAGGTGTAAAATATTTCTTACAAGGACAAAAATCAATATTATCAAGCGATAAAAATTCATGCAAGGTGTTTAAGTCATGGTTGCATTTACTTAGGCATTCTCTCAAATTGTTACAGGTAGACATTTAACAACAACCAAAAAAAAAAAAAAAAAAAAAAAAAAAAAAAAAAAAAAATTGATGTTCAAGAAAACAAACAAACAGTACTGAACAAAGGCTAAGTCACCTTAAAAATGTACTTAAAAATGTACTTAAAAAATGTATTTAAAATCGTATATAAAAATGGACATAAAAATGGAATATGTAAAATAAATAAAATGCCTATATAGGTATCGGAGGAATGGATTGGTATATTTTAGTAGTCTGCTTTATCAAAAAAGCTGCATGAGTTGTAGAAGTGAGACATTCCAACAAGGTGTTATACAGTACATCATGATTGTGTTTTAATGTTTTTTCAGATCTCCTTCACTTGCAATAAGTTTGGTGATGCTCTTACCTCCGGTTGCGTTGATAAGAGCAATGATTCGACCGTCGGAAGACCATGCAGCTGTGACACCTGAAGTCTTACGTGTTGCAGACAGAAGTTTCTGGTTCTCAACTGTCAAGTCTTCGACAATTACTATCCCTGTTCCTTTCAATTTCTTTCTATTGTAGATGACCTCTCTCCTCTTCCTGTAGGTTGTCAACTTGACAATTATGGGACGTGATCGGGCCTTCCTAGCTGATGAAGCATCAGTCAACGATGTACCTGGTGCTGATGGCTCACTGTTATCATGCAGCCTTCCTGTACGGTGAGTGCGATCTAGGTCTCTCACTGGATCCAAGGTTACACCAAGCTTGCGAGTGATGACGTCAGCTACAAGGGCATCTGTGTTTTCCCCTTTCTTTTCTTGCAGACCAAATATCCGGATATTTGATCGTCTAGAGTACTGTTCCATTGCATTGATGGCAGATTCCATTCGGTTGATATCATGCTGTTGATGAACAATTGTTTCTTTCAGGTGTATAACTTCTTTCTCTTTCTCCTCAAGGTTCTTCAGGACATCAAACATATCTCCCTGGATTTTCTCAATTGAAGTAAGAAATTCACCCATTTTCTTATCAATAGCTTTACTAACAATGGCATCCAGGAGGTGAATTCATCATTCTTGACTAAGTCTCTTATTACCTGACTAGTTACAGCAGCTTGTTGTCTTGTATTAAGTGATGCAGCCATTGTGATGATAACGAAGTCCAATGTGCATTCAACTGATACAGGTGTGTAGAATGAAGAGAATTCACCTATTCCTTTGAATAGACCATCGGAAGTTCAGTGCACATGTTTCAGTGTAGCTCTAATTCCAATGTGAACTGCACTCTCAGTTAAAAACAACCCCATAAAAACCAGCACATAACAAGAATCAATCTTATTGGACAGAATCAAAAAGAGCTAGGTCATATACTAGTTATAACTGCGTAATATTTTATCAATGAAACATGCGGTCATTTCGTATCAGACAAAATATAGAAGAAAGAGATGGACGACGAAAATTTCTATCAGATAATTGATCTTTTGTGCAATATCATGAAATGTGCGTAATTGTAAATTCATTATATGAATAACCACAGTAACCCTAAATTTGCAAAACCTCCTGTTTTTTGTTTATGTAGAGTAAAGAAATGTATATATATAGCTGTAGGATATATCGTATTCTAAAATAGGTTGGGCCATTTTTCCATTACTGTGATAAAGGGGAGGGGCACATTAGCACACAAGACAGGCCCCACGGGTTGAGTTTGAAGCCACGATCTTTGGTCATGTTGGTCCAACAGGCAGATGCTTTACCGACTATTATATACCAACTCGCCTCCTCAATACCTGCTTTGTATTGATGCGACTTACCATTATTGTCATAGCAGTAAACTCCTGCATCTTCGCTGTGAGAACAGTCTTCAATGCCCCATCCGGCGTGACTACAGTACTCCAATCTACTTTCATATCCCGAACAGCCGACCTCGTCAAGATATGTCGGGTCAGATCCTCGTCCATATGTACCACCACTCCTGGCTTCACCAACATCACCTGAGTATCCAAGCTGTCGACAAACTACCCTCGCGTCAGAGTCATCCCAGCTGTCATCACAGACTGTCCCCCAAAGGTAATTGTGGTAGATCTCAACCCGGCCTTGGTTTGGAGTGGACCCATCAACAATGCGGACATCCCCTTCATTGATTTCTTCAACGCAATTATAAAAGAATAAGAAATTAACGAATAGTTTTTGCAATATACATGTTTACAACTAAATTATTCACACCCTTACCGATTCTTGTAATTGTTGAAGTATGTGAACATTGATTCGCCCCGATTTTCGTTTCTTGAGGAGTTGACATATAAAGTATACATTTTCTGCTTGCTGTAACATTAAAGACCCAAAATTAACCAGCCCACCTTTTATTGGGGAGTTACAAAAAACACAAAATACATCAAATTTGCAAAGAAAAAAAATTATTCAGTTGTTAACAGTACGTTTCGACTATTATGCATTTACTGCAATCCCGATGTGAGAATATAGTTCGTGCAAGTCATCAAACCTTTTTACTAAATGTCATATCCCATCCTTACGGCTATAAGATTAATAACAAGAATAAATCTTTAATTATTGGAAAGAATTAAAAGGAAGGAATATGCTTTTGTAAATATGTTAATTCAAATACCCTTATTTATACACAAACCTATGAACCGGGACCTACATAATACAAGCTTTGCTTTTTAGCAGATCTCCCACTTTATTGATTGATTAATATGATCGTATTCTCTGTTATAACTATTGTTATGTACATTATGTTTTCTATATTGTATGTTTAGTTATTACCATTGTTCATTATGTTCAATTATGTTATTTTTGATAAAGTGAAATAAATAAACTTGAAACTTGAAACTTGAAGTTATAACTGCGTAATATTTTATCAATGAAACATGCGGTCATTTCGTATCTGACAAAATATAGAAGAAAGAGATGGACGACACAAATTTCTATCAGATAATTGATCTTTTGTGCAATATCATAACATTTGCGTAATTGTAAATTCATTATATGAATAACCACAGTAACCCTAAACTTACGAAACCTTCTGTTTTTATTTATGTAGGGAGAGTAAAGAAAGTTATCGTTGTAGGATATATTGCATTCGAAAATAGGCTGGGCCATTTTTCATTACTGTGCCAGTAGCCGTGCCTTCCTACGTGTGACCCTATAGCCTTGCAATTGTACGCCTATTTGGAGACAACGCTACATTTTAAACAGCTTGGTGTTTAAAATTACCTTTATAGCAATTTTAGGTCCTAGAAGAGCACTAGTAATGTCTAAAATAAGAATAAGAGCAATGAACATGCACTTTGAAGGCATTTGCGGTCCTAAACAAGAACTCAACTAATCCCTTTAAATGTTTTAAGCTTACCACATTCTACAGCCGCATCCTCGCTGTGAATACAATTGTGTTGTCCCCAGGATGAATGAGAGCAAGAATCTAGACGATATTCAGTCCCGACGCAGTAGGTCCCGTCAAGATGGATAGGACCAGACCCAGGACTGGTAGCTGTATACCCGCGAGCGTTGGTGGTTCCGATACCGAGCTGTCGACAGACAACTTGTGCATCGGAGTTGTCCCATGTGTCATCACATATAGTACCCCATTGGTTATCGTGGTAGATCTCGACCCGCCCTCGCCCATTCTGGGCGACATCGCCAAGGCGTACATCCCCCTCGAATTCTGATCCAAAAGAAAAAAGAAATCGAACGAAAAACTATCGATAATTACTACAAAAAACCATCAAAGACATCAAGAACATCTATATTATATAAAAACAAGAACAGAAGTAACTGAGATCAATGGTTATAGTAAGAAAGAAAACGATTTTTTTTTCATTTCTCCGCTTTTACGATTAAAAATGCACTAAAATACTGTAATAATGTATGTGTTCAAATTATTCATTAGAAATTATCTTCTTCTCGAGTCACTCCGCCACAAGGTTCACTCTTAGGTGGATTGTCTCAATCCATTGTTGGATAAATTCGTCGCTGTTTTCACGAAGTGACGGTAGTGAAAACAAATTGCATTCACTTTGCGTTACGATTTTCCTCACTACCGTCACTTCGTGAAAACAAGGACGAATTGTATCGCGCAGGTGGCCTGGGGTCAATGGTTCTAGATCTTCATAGGTGCAAGGGCCTGGTAGTTGTGGGTAGGCTAAGAGATGTTGCACAGTCTGCTCCTCTTCACATAGGCAGTTGGTGTCATAGTTCTCACTATATCTCCAATTCACTAGGTTGGTTTTGCAACGACCGACAGCACCTCGTAAACGGTTGAGACATGACCATGAAGGTCATACCTCGATGGATGCAGGGGGTGGTTTTCTTAGGGCGGAAGGACACTGTTTGTTGTGCTTGGGCAAGATGGTTGGTCCACAGGGACATTCACTGGTTGTCAGGGCTCTTGTTCAGTGTCTCAACAGAAAGCAGAAAGCTGTTCCGAGATATGAGACTCTCTCTTGATTGTTGATCCTTCTTAGATGCAACAGTTCTTCGAATGTTAGAAGGTGTGATATCACTCAGCAATCAAAGGTACTAAACCTTGAAGTTCGTGGGTTTCAGGCAACCAGTGATACCCCGTCAGGCAGCATTCAACGCACGGTCGATCTTGTTGGCAGGAACTGAACTACTTCTGACGGTCAATTATACTCTGATGTAGAGAAACACAAAGCCAGGGCTGTAGATCGAGCGGACTGTCTTATCATCAGCACCCCACTTATGTATTGGTCAGCTTCCCGATGATACTATTCCTTGATCCTACCTTCGCCTTAGTATGGGTGATGTGTTGTTGTTGTTGTAGGTAATAGTTTAATGACGTTCATTCATTATTGAATATATACGCCATATCTTTAATTTTATAAGAAAATCAGTTATACATAAGAAAACTGAGGATAAAGATTTGTAATGATTATTAACTAATCAGTAACGCACTTTATTAGGAGTCTCTAGATGGTTTGCAACTTCGTGTTTCTGCTTTTTTAAAAGTTTAATCTGGTCAGCCCGGTTTCGATTGCATGGAAAACTAGCTTTGCCCAATTTGAAACAGGCTTCTCGGCTACTCGGCGTGCGTGCGCAGTGATCTTTTAATTTTGTAACGCACGGTGCCTAGACCACTCAGAAACACAGAAACACTAATTGAGACACATCGTACAGGGGCGCTCCTGAAACCGAATTTCCAATCCATTCAAGTAAATTGTTATACAAATCTTTTCACATTATCACTATTTGTAAGCAAACATTAAAGTGGGCTTTTTGTTAGTATCAATGCATAAAATTATAACAAATTGAAAAATGAACGTCTTTCTTTAATATTATATAGGACATTATATAGGCCTATATATTACATACATACATACATTATATTTCTTTATTTATTCCTCCTTTTATTCTCTTTAGGAGAATCTCCTAAAGAAGCGAGAGGGGAAAGAAGTACTTTTGGCCTATTTTACTTTACTTGTAGGTAAACTTATTAATGAGGTCTCTTGTTGAAGTGATACTTGTATGTGAGGGACCGGTCAAGCGTGACCCCTGAATAGACTGGCTTGTTGGTGTTGCAATCGTTTTCCATACCACCTAATCCGTAGTTGGTGGTTAGCTTCCCCGTTCTTCAAATGACAGGCGTTTAGTCCTGGTTAGCTCTGAAATGATTGATGGCATATTAAGGGATGAGACCGACCAGGGCAGTGCTAAGGGAAACTCCTGCTTAAAATTATGCTTCTGAGAAGCAATACACGAGTCATCAGCATAGATGAAACTTCTGGTGCCTGGGTAAATGGGTTGGTCATTGGTGTAGATATTAAACAATAGAGGAGCAAGGACACTCCCTTGTGGAAGCCCATTCTTCTGAGTCCGCTATCAACCCTGTCTGCCACATAGGTCTACGAAGAATCTGCGATTCGACAAGATGTCGCAAATCAGCTGAGTTAGTCACTTAAGGTCATCTCATACAGTTTAGTCATTAGAAACTTTATAAACTAGTTTATATCATTACTGTTATTATCATTATCATTGTTGTTATAAGATTACTTTTTTCTTCTCATTATTGTATTTATAATTCTTCAGTTATGAATCATTAATCGAATTTTCATATCGTCCTCTAAATTCATGGGTGAAATCATATCGACATTGAGGAAATACGTCATGGGGGGGGGGGGGTAGCTAAATATTGACTTCGCTACGTTGACAATTTCAAGGAGAATAAATTGTTTGAAGGGTGCTTAACCTCTAAAAATAGAGTGCAAAATTTTGCTGTGCAAAATCGCTGTTTAAAAAAGTTGGGTAAAGTATTACCCAACCTTGTGCCAAACACCAAGTCCCTTCGAAATTTAATTACACTTGCCATAGTGTCATATCAAAATTCGACTGTGCGCATTTCCGGGGTAAGAAAGTAACGATGCAGATTAATATTTGAACCACGCGTTGGGTAAACTCAAGTTTTGACACCTAAACGTTGGTATTATGACACAACCGATGTTAAAAACTATGATTGAAGCGCTAGCGTGGTCGGTCGTTCCGAATGAGCTGTTCATCGAATTAATCGTGTTCAAGATCGACAGAGGATGGACGACTTTGTTCGAAATACACTACGATCACGCACTTGTATCTTTCCGCAGAATTTATTTGCATGAATGCGTGTAAATCTTCTCAATATGGACATGAAATTCCTCATAATTCTGGACAACACATTTTTCGAATGGAGAATGTCATCCGCGATGCAGTCACCTACTGCGAGCACGCTAAGCGAAAGACTGTCTAGCCAAGAGAGAGAGAGAGAGGTCTGCTACTTATACACTACACTACGTATAGCATGTACTTTTCCAGCCAACTCCTCGGACAAATTCTCTTTTTTACGCAAATCTGTGTTAAAATAAAAAATCATACAATAAGGTTGGGTTAAAATTTTACACAACTTTTGGGTAAAAAATTACACAAGAACAAAGTAAACGAGTATCCAGGATGAGTTGGGTAAAAATTACCCAATGTTGTGTCAAAAAGGGAACATGGTTGTCGTTGGATAACATTTTACCTTTTACATTGGGTCAAATATATTGCACATCAGTTGGGTAGAACATTAAAAATTTGCTGGGTAAATTTTTACCCAACCACCCCTGGGTCAAATTTTACCCAACAAACATGCATGTTCCCTTTTTACCCTCGTAAAGTGTAAAATTTTACCCAATATTGGGTATCTTTTTTTTAGAGTGTAGTCACATAGGAGCGCATAATCTGAAAGAAAAACATATTGCCAAGAAAATAAAGTAAATATGCTTAACGAAACTGTTTCATGACCTATTTGACATATTCAAATGGCAAAGTACGTACGAAGTACGAATTGTCCCTCATCGCTCGTGCACGACCTATCCACCGTGACAACGGTGCCATGTAAACGAAGAGGGCGTGTCTCTCTATAATTTGGTTGTTGTGGCCCTTAACTTAAACGAACGGTTTGAGTTGAGTCGTGCAAGCGCGTAGCCAGGATTTTATTTGAGTGGGGCGGTAATGAGCACGCGAAGCGCACTCGAAGCGCCCAGCGCACTCCCTAGGGGGGTGGGTGCAGGGAGGGGGAGTTTCCCCCCTCCCTCGCGAAGCGCGGAAGCTTTGAAAGAAGACGATTCGTTGTCCCTTTCTCGACTCGCAATCCTTGTCTGAATTCAGTCCGCCCTTCCTGCGCATAACGCGAAAGCTTTGACCTATTATTAGACAAAGAAGATTAATCGTTGTACCTTTCTCGACTCTTAATCCTTTTTTTGTATTCAGTCCTCCTCCCGCGCGAAGCGCGAAAGCTTTGACGTTTTATTAATTTATTAGAGAAAGAAGACGATTCGATGTACCGTTCTCGACTCTTAATCCTTATCTGAATTCAGTTTCTTCCCCTCTCTCTCCCGCGCAAAAGTTTGAAGTTTCATTAAATTATTAGAGAAAGAAGACGACTCAAAGTACCGTTCTCGACTTCTTAATCCTTGTCTGATTTCTGTTCCCTCCCCTCCCCCCCTCTCGCGCGAAGAATTGACGTTTCATTAAATTATTAGAGAAATAAGACGACTCAAAGTACCGTTCTCGACTTCTTAATCCTTGTCTGATTTCTGTTCCCTCCCCCCCCCCCCCTATCGCGCGAAGCTTTGACATTTCTTTAAATTATTAGAGAAAGAAGACGATTCGTTGTACCTTTCTCGACTCTTAATCCTTATCTGAATTCAGCCCCCCCCCCCCCCCCTCCCCCTCCCTCCTCATGCGCGAAGCACGGAAGCTTAGACGTATTATTAGACAAAGAAGACGATTATTTGTACCTTTTCCGACTCTTAATCCTTAATCTGAACTCAGTTTCCCCCTTTCCGCGCGATTCCTTTTCCCTTTTTCTACGTCATCTTACTTTTTTTCTTCTCTTTCTCTCTCTCTTTTTTTTTTGGCCGGCGTTTTTTTTTTTTTGGGGGGGGGGGCGACCGCCCCCACCGCCCCCCTCCCTGGCTACGCTCCTGGAATAAGATGAAGATGAAGAAGAAGAAGAAGAAGAAGAAGAAGAAGAAGAAGAAGAAGAGAAGAAGAAGGAAAGAAGAAGAAGAAGAAGAAGAAGAAGAAGAAGAAGAAGAAAAAGATGAAGATGAAGATGAAGATGAAGAAGAAGAAGAAGAAGAAGAAGAAGGGAAACAAAGAAGAAGAAGAAGAAGAAGAAGAAGAAGAAGAAGAAGAAGAAGAAGAAGAAGAAAAAGAAGAAGAAGAAGAAGAAGAAGATGAAGATGATGATGAAGAAGAAGAAGAAGAAGAAGAAGAAGAAGAAGAAGGGAAACAAAGAAGAAAGAGAACAAGTAGAAAAGGGAGAACTATGTTCATCACGAATATAATTGTCGCCTCTTTGCTTTTTAAATCAATTTCATTCAACATTTTTATGATTTTAAGGAAAACAAAAGACCTGTCTTAGTGACAAGAACTAAAGGACATTGACATCGTTTAGCCTCAGAAAGAAGACGATTCGTTGTACCTTTCTCGACTCTTAATCCTTATCTGAATTCAGTCCCCCCCCCCCCCCCCCCCTCCCTCCTGCGCGAAGCGCGGAAGCTTTGACGTATTATTAGACAGAGAAGACGATTAGTTATACCTTTTCCGACTCTTAATCCTTAATTTGAACTCAGTTTCCCCCTTTCTGCGCGATTCCTTTTCTCTTTTTCTACGTCCTCTTCCTTTTTTCTTCTCTTTCTCTCTCTTTTTTTTTTTGTCCGGCGTTTTTTTTTTTTTTTTTTTTTTTATGGGGGGGGGGGGGCGACCGCCCCCACCTCCCCCCCCCTCTGGCTACTCTCCTGGAGTCGTGTTATGATGATATATGAATGCGTTCATAATTAAGCACCTTCTTGCCTTCAGGTATTTCAATCAATCCTAATGACGTACATGAGCATCATACAAGGCAAATAGACAGAGGATGTTTACGTAACCCAGGAATAACAAAGTTCTGTTTGTTTACAGCAATGCTTGCATTTCCATACTTTTATTAAACTATTCGTTTTCACTGGTTGTCTACCGTAACAACAAAGAATGCGAAATACGTCATGCATGGCTGATCGTCAACGTGACAGAGTGTGTTGTTTGTTTTTACGGCAGGCAGCCAGTAAAACGTATTCGTTTGATAACATTATGGAAATGCAAGCATTACTTTAAACAAACAGAACTTTGTTAGTTCTGACTCATTCTTCCTGATTGATGTTTCATATGAAATGGCAGAAAATGAACATTTTAGACATTTGATTTTCTCTTTGAAATTCAGATACCGTCCGCCTAATGACTTTTTGATACCTTTTCTTCAAATTGTTTTGAATCACTCATGCGTGAAATATGCATCATATGAGTTGCATCGAATGAAGATAAAGATATAAGCGTAACAAATATGTGTCATTTATTAATTATAATTGTGATTAAGTTATGATAAAACATCGATAATTCTCGGTTTCGTTTTTTCAGGGACGCATTGTACACTGTTGGTCATAAAAGTGGAAAAAATCCTCTATGTGGGCATGCCTTGACCCATAATGCATTGCCCCACAGATGAATTGTATATGTTGGGGACCGGGGGGAAATGCAATGAATTATTGAAAATCTATTGCATTTTCGTTCTTTTTTTGTATTTGTGGGGGCGGCGACGTACCTTAGCCCCCGCTGCGTACAGTCATGATTCAGTGGCTAAGCAATGGCCACGTTACTGTGAGCCCCCAGGATAAAAACCGTGTCGATATGCTTTATTAGTGCCCTTTTATGAGGCATTATTCCTCATCACTGTCAGTTATGATTTAAGGACGTAGGTCCCCTAGTAGATTAGCTTAGTAGCATACACATGCTTTAGCAGTCACGCAAAACAAACACTCACAAATTATTATTTAATAGAATCTGAGAATGTAAACTATTATCTAGATCTAGTAGGAATAAATCATTGTTAAAATCTTTCCATAAATCGGGGTAAAAAGAAATTATTCCACCATTATGACCAACAGCGTATATATCCATGAAAGACATATACAGTGACTGATGACTCTGCATATACATGTATGAATGTATTTCTACACAGAGTCTCACATTATACACGGATGAGTTGAGCACCATTAAAAACATATTTCCTGTATTTACACAAGCTACATATCGGGTCACTGCTATTTATATCAATGTCGTAATACATGGTAATGAGCTTTTCATATTTGTTAAAGGGGAACTAACCCCAAAGAATAAGTGTAGATATTCTGTAAAAAGAGATTAATTCCTGCCGTTTGATGTAAATTAAATCTTACGAACGTGTACAAGAGATATATGAATGTAGATTTCTTGGCCTGATGTTATGCCTTTTAGCATGACATGGACGCAGCCATTTTCTTGAACATGTGACGTACCAGTTGGAGTTATACATGTATCATGCACCAAGCTTCAGTTGAAAAGACTTTTTAATTCAATTAAAAAAACTTTAATTTTCAATGAGTAAAAATTATAGACGAGAAGGTAAAAATTACTCTTTGAAAAGCTTTGGACTATCAATACATGGAGCATATATTACAATAATAATGATGATAATGATAATGGAAAGGAGCAGAATAAGAAGAGGAAACAAGGAACTAAAAATAATGTATATATATATATATATATATACATAATGTATTTTGTATTTAGTAAATTATTTTTTAAGCGATTAAATATAAGGCCTACCGCTTCTATACCAAAAGGAAATTAACATCATAAGCCTTCATACAGAAGTGGTTTAGCTGATTTGAATCCATTTTTGTTTGGGTATACCACTCGTACGAGAACTCATGTAGTACATTGTAATGGGCTTGTAGATTAAAACATATTCACCCTCTGAATATATTAAAAATGAGTATAAAATAAAAATAGGAACAAAATCTAACTAGAATTTACACTTACGGCATCGTACGTAATTTGGCCAGAACACAACGAAGGCGCTGAATATTATCCACAGTCTCATACGACGAACAAGCTTCCTATCAGTATTTGACGCCATTTTTCAAGCACTAAGAATGACGTTGGTCTTCACAACGGTTTGTATATATGTATTCTCCTAGAGAGAAATTGACCTTAGTCTGGTGCACTAGATGATTCATGAGTGCGTGCACACAACACTAATATTGGGAGTGTGGAAAAGAGGGAGAAGGAGAGAGAGAGAGAGAGATGGAGAGAGAGAGAGAGAGAGAGAGAGAGAGAGATGAACAAAGACAATTTAGGGCGGCATTGTATTTGCTTTTACTGCATAATACCATTCAACCAAAACTGTATAGATCAATCACATGAAAGAGAAAACGCAGATACAATGCCAATATAATATTGGTAAAGGCGGGTTACCATAGCAGCCCAATCCTCTTTGTAATGCACTAAGCAGCTTCAGTGTGCTATACACATTTCTGATTGAATCAAATTCTTACGGCATTATTACCCACATGTGAAATGTTCTCGTGTCTAATATTTTGGTAGATTAAGATAAAGGTGAGTTCTGGTTAAACAAAAGAAAATGAATTCTCACAGAATCAAACGAAACTTACACTGAATGTTCAAGATTACAAATAAATGTCATTTGCCAAACAATTTTGATAGAAAATGTATACTGGCTGAGTAATGAGCATAGTACCCCCCCCCCCCCCCCGACACCATTTGTGTAGTCCCATATACATCTTTCTGTGTACACTCTTTGTTACTTTAACGAGACTGGGCCAAATTTATTATGATTTTGATGACTCCAGAACTTTGAAGTACACACCAATACTTATATGCTCCATGATCAACTTTTTATGATCCATTCCACACCTTTTCTTTCACAATGCATTCGGATGACCAGAACTCACTTTTATCTTTAAAGGGCAATCTGAACCTGTGAATGACTTGCTAGTAAAGCTAAGACAAACAGATTGGTGATATCTGATCAACATAACAAGCTAGGAATATTTATGTTAAAATTAACTTTGGGATGAGTTCTCGATCGGGTTGTCATCTGATCACATGTCATGGAGCCGTATGTTGATATAAGTACCTAGTCACATCGACGGAATGTTATCAATAATGATGATAATAGTAATGATGGTATGTTGATATAAATACACTGTCGCTCATAAAGTTGGAATATTTTAGTTTTACCCCAATTCATGGAATTATTTTAAAAATTATTTAAAAATAATAGTATACATTCTCATATTTCATTGAATAATAATTTGCCAATGTGTGTTTTGCGGGACTGCTAAAGCATGTGTATGCTACTATGCGTATTAACTAGGTGACCTACGCCCTCAAGTCATAAATGACAGTAATGAGGATTAATGCCCCACAAAAGGGCACTAATATAGCACATCGACACGGTTTTGATCCTGGGGCCTCACAGTTACGAGGCCATTGTTTTGTCACTGAACCATGACTGTACGCAGCAGTGGCTAGGGTAGGATAGGGGGCGGTTTCCATAAATTTAAAACAAGAAAAAGAAAAGGCAATAAATTTTCAATAATTTATTGCATTTTACCCCGGTCCCCAACATAAAAAAAAATCCTCTGGACGGCCATGCATTATGGCTCAAGGCATGGGCACACAGAAGATTTGTTTATGTTGGGAACCGGGGTAAAATGCAATAAATTATTGAAAATGTATACGTACATGTACATAGGCCAGGGATGTTGAATACAACAGTGCGACCTATGATCTGTCTATGTTTACCAAAGCCAGTACCATTGAGAGTACAAGCTCGTTGTTGCTCAAGCTTGTGGCAGAATTCCTGGAAAAGTCACATTATTCATATTTTTAGGCTTCCTGGATTAAGATTAGCAACATTATTACATATTGCACATATATGCTAATTAGATTATTATGCTAATTCGGCTAATTATACTACATCTGCATGCAATATCTTCTCATTTAAAAAAATAAAATTTTGTGCCTCTAATGAGGTGTTTATTTACATTCAAACATCAAAATAAAGTTGTGAGAACAAAAACAATTGACGCACAATGTTATCAATAAAATCACATATTTTTTTTCTCAACTATACAATATTTTCATCTAAAGTGTATGGCACGCCTTTAGGGAAACAAATAAATATATGCGACACTTTCAAAAAATATATTTCACTCAAATGTATATATTCGACACTTTCAGAAAATATTTGACAAGTTTTATTTGACAAGAATTTTATTCGACATCAATTTCATTCGACACATTGTTCGTCAAAAATTATATTTGTCAACAAATTTATTCGACAAAAATTTTATTCGACACAAATTTCATTCGACCAAAATTTTATTCGACACAAATTTTATTCGACCAAAATTTCATTCGACAAAAATTTCATTCGACAAAAATTTTATTCGACACAAATTTCATTCGACAAAAATTTCATTCGAAACAAATTTCATTCGACACAAATTTTATTCGACACAAATTTCATTCGACAAAAATTTTGTTCGACCAAAATTTCATTCGACAAAAATTTCATTCGACACAAATTTTATTCGACACAAATTTTATTCAACCAGAATAACCTGTACCGTGCACACCCGCGCAACAGGCGCGTTTACGATACGAAGACTATAGATCCACGTCGCGGCCTATAGCCTCTGGTCAATGAACAGTGGGTTTGGACTGTTTGAGGGTGATGAGAGATGAGAAGAGGGAGGGCAAAGTCATGTAGCCTGGATGGTTAGGGGCTTGTTGGGGGGGGGGGGCGTTAAGGGGGTACAAATTAGTGTCTATTACCTACTTTGTTCATTTTTTCATTTACTATAGATTGTTTTAGGGTGATACAAATGAAGGTGTGGGCATAATGATGTAGTCACCCCGGGTAAAGAGCTAGTGGATGGGGGGGGGGTGGGGTGGAGGTGGGGAGGTACGTGGAAACGTAGTAGGTAATATACACTCCTTTATATTCCAATAGCGCCACCCCACCACCACCACTATCCCCTATCCATTCAATTCCAGTCTACACCACTATGCCCTCCCTCTTCTCATCATCATCATGCAAACAATCCTACCCACTGTTAATAATTAATAAAGTAGGTAATATACTCATACATATACTGTATACATACTCTTTTGAAAGCAGGCCATTGAACTTCAATGCAATTCAATGTATTTCTCCTGCACAAATGCCAAACATAGGTCAAATACATACATGCAATAAAACGGCTCCACGTTATGCTTGAAATAGAAACAAATCAGCAAAGGTAGAAAGGGTAGTCGGACTACCCCCCCCCCCCAATAATAATAACAAATTATACAATCAAAGGTAAATATCAAGTCAAATGATGAGGTGGTACCAATAACGAGAAAGAAGAGGGAGAAAATATCAAAGACGGGGGGGGGGGGGGGGGAGTGCTTCCGTGAATGTTTAAAAAAAATTAATGATGGCCTTACTTGAGTATCAGGAATAACCTTAACTTAGCCTCAATGAATACAATGAAGGACAATTTATATCAGGTGGAACATGACTCCATAACATATAGGCCAATTGAAGGCTTTCCGTTTTTGTAAGAAAGTCTAAAGCCCCAGTCCCATATAAAGCCGGACCAGCACGGACGAGCACGGACCACTCTGGACCATCCCGGACCATGGTCTGGGGTGATCCGGGATGGTCCGGGATGTTTTGTTCAAAAAAGTGTGATGCTTTAAAAGCTACAGTCCCATACATGGGTGTCGATCCGTAACTGATACCTATTCATCAGGGGGGATGATCTATTCATTCATCCCCCCCTGATGAATAGGTATTACGTAAGTATCGACACCCATGGTCCCATATACGTCCCGGACCGTCCCGGACCATCCCGGACCCCATCCGGGGTGATCCGGGATTCGGTCCGTGTTGACACCGTGTTGGCACCGGGGTGGTCCTGGATGGTCCTGGATGGTCCTGGGCGGTCAATAACTCACTCCCAGACTGCCACGGATCAACACGGACCGCCCCGGCGCCACTACGGATGACCCCGGACCCAGCACGGTGGCTACACGGATCACCCCGGATCAAACTATTGTCCCGGACCGTCCCGGACCACCCCGGCAGTTTTTGACCGTCAAAAACATCCGGGGTCGACTCCCGGACCGCCCAGGACCATCCAGGACCGTCCAGGACCATCCAGGACCATCCAGGACCACCCCGGTGCCAACACGGTGTCAACACGGACCGAATCCCGGATCACCCCGGATGGGGTCCGGGATGGTCCGGGACGGTCCGGGACGTATATGGGACTGTAGCTTTAGCTATACAGCCCCAGTCCCATATAAAGCCGGACCAGCACGGACGAGCACGGACCACTCCGGACCATCCCGGACCATGGTCTGGGGTGATCCGGGATGGTCCGGGATGTTTTGTTAAAAAAAGTGTGATGCTTTAAAAGCTACAGTCCCATATACGTCCCGGACCGTCCCGGACCATCCCGGACCCCATCCGGGGTGATCCGGGATTCGGTCCGTGTTGACACCGTGTTGGCACCGGGGTGGTCCTGGATGGTCCTGGGCGGTCAATAACTCACTCCCGGACTGCCACGGATCAACACGGACCGCCCCGGCGCCACTACGGATGACCCCGGACCCAGCACGGTGGCTACACGGATCACCCCGGATCAAACTTTTGTCCCGGACCGTCCCGGACCACCCCGGCAGTTTTTGACCGTCAAAAACATCCGGGGTCGACTCCCGGACCGCCCAGGACCATCCAGGACCATCCAGGACCATCCAGGACCATCCAGGACCACCCCGGTGCCAACACGGTGTCAACACGGACCGAATCCCGGATCACCCCGGATGGGGTCCGGGATGGTCCGGGACGGTCCGGGACGTATATGGGACTGTAGCTTTACATTTCTTGCCATAGAAGAGTTTTGTATAAAAAGGTCATCATATACAGGTGGCAAGTTGTTATGTTTGTACTGGAACATGAATTGACCGAGCTGCATTAACATTAAAAATATTCATCCGTTTTAATAGGGGTGCAGTATGTGCACAACCCCCCCTCCCCCCACAACAGTAGGTCTGTAGATTCAATAACCAGTGTGTCACTTTAACACCCGCACGTGCGTCTTATATACACATGTGC